TGAGGGGGGGGGGAAGGGGAGGGGGGGGGCGGGGGGCATTGCTCTCTATGTTAAGGAACAATATACATCTTCCGTAGTTAATTTGGGCCAGGAAGAAGGGCAAATTGAGGTACTATGGGTCAGGTTACAGGGGGGTTGCAGTGAAAGGCACTTGGTAGTGGGGGTCTACTACAGACCCCCACACCAGGGGGACCAGTTAGGCCTAGAATTCGAGACAGCTCTCAGAGGCAGCGCACTCAAACGATCTGGTCGTCATGAGTGACTTTAACTCCCTAGACACCTGCTGGGAGGAACAGGTAGCCAGGTCTGCCCATTCACAAAAGTTTCTAACCTCCTTACAGGACCTTCGCCTATTGCAGGAGGTATGCATTCCCACTAGGGGAAATGCCTTACTAGACTTGGTACTGGCCACAGGGGATGACTTGGTGGGGGATCTGCAGGTGCAAGGTAACCTAGGGGATAGTGACCACCTATTGATAGGGTTCACTATCTGGAGAAAGGTGCGGAAGACAACTAGTAGGGTGGAAGTGCTAGACTTCAGGAAGGCCAACTTCAACAAGCTCAGGAGATTAGTTATGGAGGGACTGACTGGTAAAAGCTTTGGAGAGATGGGAGACCAGGAAGGGTGGGTGTTTCTCAAGGGACTAATCCTGCAGGCACAGAAAAGGGCCATCCCAGTACACATAAAAGGGGGCAAAAAAAGTAAATAAACCCTCTTGGTTGAGCAGGGAAATCCAGGAGAGCCTGGAGGGAAACAAAGAGGCCTACAGGCTGAGGAAGCAGGGGGCTGCTACCAAGGAGGAGTATACCTGCTTGGCTCGAGCTTGCAGGGAATCTATGAGGAGAGCCAAAGTGGAAATGGAGCTTAGGCTGGCAGCAAAAGTTAAGGATAACAAAAAGTCATTCTTTAAGTACATAGGAAACAAAAAGAAGGTGCAGGGTAACTTAGGGCCCCTTCAGGATGAACTAGGGCAACTGGTAACAGATAGGATTGCCAAAGCAGAGCTTCTAACTGATTTCTTTGCATCCGTGTTCCTGGACATGAATAAAAATACGCATCTCATTGGGACCTTAGGTAAACCCAGTATAGATACCAACCCACCAACTGTTCGTGCTGACCTAGTAAAGGGGCACCTGGAGGAGTTGAACGTATTTAAGTCAACAGGCCCTGATGATCTTCACCCTGGGGTACTTAGGCAATTAGCTGGAGTCATAGCGGAGCCACTGGCATAACTGTTGAGCACTTGTGGCACTCAGGACAGGTCCTGGAAGATTGGAAAAGGGCCAATGTGGTCCCTATTTTCAAGAAGGGGAGGAAGGAGGAACTGGGTAACTATAGCCAGTTAGTCTCACCTCTATCCTTGGCAAGACCTTTGAGAAAATTGTTAAGGATCACATTTGTGGTGGACCAGTGGGTAAAATGATGTTAAGGAGGAATCAGCATGGGTTCATAGCAGGCAGATCCTGCCTGACTAACCTGGTTTCATTTTACGACCAGGTCACAAAATGCTTGGATGAAGGAATAGAGGTAGATGTTCTTTACTTAAATTTAAAAAAGGCTTTTGACACAGTGTCACACCCAATTCTTACAAATAAACTAAACAGTTGCAATGTAGATTATTACACAGTCCGGTGGGTAGAAAATTGGCTTATGGGATGCACCCAGACAGTGGTGGTGGACAGGTTGGTTTCTACCTGGAGAAATGTAGGCAGCAGAGTCCCCCAAGGCTCTGTCCTGGGACCAGTATTATTCAATATCTTCAGTAGTGACTTGGACGAGGGAGCAGAAAGCACCATGTCCAAGTTTGCTGATGACACCAAATTATGGGGGGAGGTACACAAACTAGACAGCAGGGAGTGAATCCAGGCTGATTTGGACAGGCTGGGGAAATGGGCTGAAAAGAATAGGATGCAGTTTAGCAAGGATAAGTGTCATGTGTTGCACCTGGGGAGGAAGAATCATCAATACTCCTATAGCCTGGGAGGTACCACTCTAAGTAACACAACTGTGGAAAGGGATCTCAGACTTGCAGTCAACTCCAAAATGAACATGAGTCGCCAATGTGATGAGGTAATAAGTAAAGCTAACTGCACCCTTTCTTGCATTAGTAGATGCATCACAAACAGGTCTAGGGAGGTGATACTTCCCCTCTATGCAGCATTAGTAAGGCCGCAGCTGGAGTACTGCGTCCGGTTTTGGGCACCGCACTTCAGGAGGGATGTGGATGGCCTGGAGAGGTTTCAGAGGAGGGCCACTCATCTGGTAAAGGCCTACAGAAAAAGCCTTATGTGGACCAATTGGGAGACCTGAACTTCTTCAGCCTCTGCAAGAGGAGGCTGAAAGGTGATCTCGTGACCGCCTACAAACTCATCAGGGGTGGTCAGCAAGAAATAGGGGATACAATGTTTACCAGGGCGCCTGTTGTGGTAACTATAAATAATGGCCACAAACTGGAAGAGAGAAAATTCAGATTGGACATCAGGAACAAATTCTTTACAGTGAGGGTTGGCAAAATATGGAATAAGCTTCCAAGGGAGGTGGTGCTGTTCCCTTCCCTGGAGGTATTTAAAAGGAGATTGGATAGACACCTGGCTGGGGTCATCTGACCCCAGCACTCATTCCCATCCAGGGCAGGAGTCAGACTCGATGATCTAATAAGTTCCTTCTGACCCTAACATCTATGAAACTATGAAATAGACCAATCAACCAATATCACAGAAAACAATCAACAGATTATCACTGCAGCTAACTCCCATTACAATTATGGGTACTTTACCTAGCACTCATGTAGGTCAAAAAGAACACACATGTTTATTGAAAGTAATGTAGGAGACTTTGTAAATGTGGAGTTTCAGGGAAATAAGATTTCTGACAGAAACACCTAGCAATTGAGGATGGCTGCTAATAATGATCTAAAAAGGAAGACTTACATTTAATGAAACTACTCATGGATGTATCAAGAAGACAGAGACCCAGAAACAAACTTGTAAAAACAAGGGGAAAAATTAGTTAACTACATCCCCAGGGTCAGCTAAAGCATCTTGCATTCGCTCTCTTTGAAGCTATTAGCCCTTGTGAGAGAGACTGCAACTTTATTTTTGGGATCTGTGTGGTGCTGAACACACTTTGGAGAACAAAGCCACAGTTACAGGGTTAGGCCCTTGTAGAAAGGCAAAAATGCTACAGCGTTTACTAAAAGTATCTCAGAAAAGATGAAATATCACTATTCTAAAAGTCCTCTTGCATTTAGAAGTTAAAGTAGTCATGAATTTTATCCAATATTTCAAGCAAAAAAAACCCCAAAACTGAAACAATTCCATGTCACAAGCTGCCAGTGAACTTACCGATCTGCAGCCCACGACAGTGTTGCTTGAACTTGCACACGAAATCTGCCCAAGAAGCTGCTAATTGAAGGATGACTTGAAGGAAGCTGAAATTTTAAAGAATTCTTCTCTCTCTCCAGTTCTTCCAGTTTCTTTTTAAATTTATCCGCTACAAATGACAAAGCACAAAAAGCTGACATTAATTTAACAAATACAAACAGGATTATGTTTTACTAGACAGAAAGAAAATTGGATGGCCATCCAAATAAAAACAAAACAAGAGAAAAATGAATGGCATACTGTAGACAATATTTCCCCTTTGTTGATACTCATTTCATTTTGCTCCAGGATAAACTAGTAAAATTATAACAGATAACATTGGACGTATGTCAAATTATTTACTTTTGTGAATATTAAAAGCCTCATACTGCAGGCTTCCCATATTCAATAATCCCATTCACATCACTGAGAATTTTAACTCAGTAAAGCCTGGCAGATTTAGCTTATAGTATACAACCCATGCAATACTCCTAGAGGATGTGTATTAAAGAAATTAATCTCTATAAAAATTCCCTGTGCAAGTCCAATTTCAGCCAAATTCATCAGATGGTAACAACACGTCTGGATCTGACCTTTAGATTTTCACAATTCTGAAAAGCCACCGCATTACTCCATAAGAACTGGACAGTACGCTGTATCTTAAGTTAATAAATTATAAGCAACATCCAGGCAATGAATACACATGTAATTAAATCTATCAACAGGGTCCACAGGGAACCATTAGTAAAAGGCATCCTTCTTGTCCCTCTACCATCTCTTGTTCTAGTTACGTTGATGTTAGCCTAGCCAGCAAAGCCATTACACGGAGCAATCTCTTTTTTTTTCTTTTATATTGAAGGATGACCTGCTCCTTGACACGTGGGAGGATAACCACTATGGGCAGGGAGGCACGGTCGCTGGCAGGTCCTGTACCACTTTCATTCCCATTCAGCGAGGGTATATTCTGAGTTATACTCTGAATATACTCTATATTCAAGTTGCTGTTAGGGAAGTTTAGGTGTGGATACAGGTTTCCCTCCATTTATGCTGGACATGTGTTCCTGGAAAATGGTGCATAACTCGAATTCACATAAAGGAAACCCACTTTACAATGTAACAAATAGGGATATGTTCCAAGACCTCAACTGTACTGACCCACAGACCCATGTCTACCACTTTTACAAGACAGTTTTGGTACTCATCAACAGCAGACAGTATACACAATCACAGGGTGGTGGTGAATGTTACCATAATGGGGATAGCAGCTACAGAAACACGTGTCAGAGACAATGAGCAAGGAGCACAGATTCACACAAGAGACTATACTTCAGGGTGTGTCACTCCCACAATGCACTGCACAAAGCAGCTGACCATAGGCTTCCACTACACCGATTGCATAAGAGTGAATTTACCTCGCATATAACACATTTTTGGTATAAAAAGGGTCATTGCATAAGAGCAAATTTGCACATACAGAACCCACATAAAGCGAGGGAAGCTTGTATTAGGAAAAACTATTTTACTAGGAGGTGATGAAGCACTGGAACGGGTTACCTAGAGAGGTAGGGGAATATCCATCCTTGGAGGTTTTTAAGACCCAGCTCAACAGAGCCCTGGCTGGGATGAACTAGTTGGGACTGGTCCTGCTTTGAGCAGGGGGTTGGACTAGATGACCTCCTGAGGTCCCTTCCAACCCTCATGTTCTATGATTCTATGAATAGAAGCTCTCCATTTCCCTCCTTGGGGTCATTCTCCAATGGCAGGAAAATCGATCCCTGCTCAAAGCTGGCAAGAAAGAACATGCTGACAATGAGAAGAAATATCTGCCCTTACTGAAAGGCAGTGTCACAAGACAGAATGGGACCAGTTTCAGTGCCCATCACCTCTTCAGTATCAGTAACATCTCCAAAAAGGATATCTTCCTGACTTTTTCTTCCACTGTTCCATCCTGGAGTAAGACGACTGACTGCTTAAAGGAATGGTAGCCGAATGATCTGGTTCTAACCGTCACTTCCAGGTCCAAAGTGATATATTTTGAGATGTATACTCCTGGACTAACCATTCCCAGAAGAGGAGAACTCATAAGCAGAGCACTTGTCCAGAATATGGCACTCAGGTAGGCAAAGAAGGTGGTAGTCATCCTTGATGGGGATTAACCTGTTGCCAAACGGTCATGGCTTGAAGCCTAACAGAGTGGATTCTGTGTAGAACACAGGGACCACCATGCTCCCCATGCTTATCTCATCTGTATATCACCTCAGAGAGGACACCAACTGAAGGCACTGGAACCACGGCAGCCCCCACACAGGCTATAGAGTAGATGTGAAAAATGGTAGGGAATAGGCTTAAACTATTAGTGGCAGTGGAGCTGCAGGAGCTATGAACTTCCCACTGCAGAAGTACTCCTACTGCTCACCTAGCATATGGTATCTCCACACAGATTCTAGCAAGGTACTATGTCTGCATGGTACAACTAAGCGCTAAATAATTTTTTGATCAGCACTTGGTATCCTTTGTCTTAACAACTACACAAAGAAGTACTAAAACGTTTTAAGAAATGTGTGTCTGTGTATCCACTGAGACAAATAGAGGGCTCAACTTCAGCTTCTGCAGATGCTCCAAGGGACTATAAAAAACAACTGTTCTAAGAACAGGTCAGGGAGAGGTCATTTCCTGAATTTAGTGCTTTGGGTTTTAGAGATTCTCAGCTGAGGAAGAAAAAATTGTTCCATTATAATGCTCTAACTGTTGTTGCATAACATGATCGGCCAACCCTGCATTTGTGCATCAGCCAATCCACATTTTGTGCACTTGGCTAGCCTGCCTTTAATCATTTTATACCTTAGGATATACAAATAAAGGCTCCTTTTGGAAGGAATACAGATGAAGGCGTTCACATGCCGATTCAGTATTTCTCTCTCATTAATTCTTGGCTGCACTCTGCTTTGTACATTCCAGCCTAGATGGCATTCAATTAGTTTCTACTAACAGACATTTTTAAATTATTTGCTCTGATTGGTGCTTTTATAAAAAAAAAAAAATGTTGCTGGCCACATCTGCTCATCATCTCTCAAAACCAAATGATCTTTTATCCTTTTAGCAATATTTCCAAAAAGGATTTAGACATCCCAAATCTGAGCCCTGCAAAGAACACCTGGAGTAGAACCCAGAGCCTTGTGTTGGGCTACTGGGCTTCCTATACTGGGCCTGATTAAAACGCTGCAGTGTCATGTGCATTAAGCATCTTGCATTTCGAAATGGCCATGGGGGCGTTTTACCTAAAGCTTATTTGACGAGTTTTAGTTAAGCACCCCCACTGCCATTTTGAAACATGGGATGCTTAATACACATGACAGCAAGGCATTCTGGAGCATTCTAATTAGAAGTCTGTCTTCCAGCAGACTTGTTTAATCAAGTCTGCTCCAACGTGTTCTAATTAAAACATGTCAGAGCATGTGTATAGGTACCCTGAGCTCATTCAGCCATGCCAGGAGTGGAGTACTCCTGGGCTTCTGCAGGATCCCAGGGGGATTTAATGGATCAAAAATAGAGATACCTATTGTGCTTAGGTTATTGTGCAGCTGCCAGGGAGATTTTCTGGATTTAGATGCCTAAATTTCACCTTATTCCCATTTCAGATAACCAAGTCCTTTTTTAGATCTGATGCTATAATCCTGCATCTTCCCTAATTAACATTTGGGAGGGAGGGAAGGTTAATGTCCATCCAACATGGATCACATAAAGGATCACGACACAAACAGTAAAGATGCATCTTTTCTTCTCTATCAGCAAACTAATAATGCAGTACATAGAAAATGGGTCCATTAGTTATGGGTCCATTAGTTGGACCCAATGGGTCCAATAACTATCATCCATTAGTTATTAATTTTATAAATTGTATGCACTGGTCTTGGAAAACATTCATAAGAGATATATACTACTAATAAAGTTTACGACAAAAAATAATAAAGTACACACACAATACCACTCTTCTTATACGTTTTTTTAAATGTTTCCTTAGGTAATGTAAATAGCAGAAAAGTAGCCAAAAGCTATCATATGATAAAGGGAAAATTTTTCCCTGCATTAATCTATTATAGAACCTAACCCTGAGTTGCAGTCTCCTCAACTATCATCTAAATTCACTGGGGACAGGTTTTTTTTCCAGCATCTTACAAACACTTATTTGGACGTTTATCTTGCTGGGATCCTTTGACCCCAGCTGACTTCCTGCCCCTGGGGCAGGGGTTGGGACTCAATAGTCTTCTGAGGTTCCTTCCAGCCCTAATGTCTATGAAATCTATGAAAACCAAGCCTGTATTTCACGTTAAAGCCATACAAAAGACATTGGATATACAAAAGAATAACTGATTGGATTGAAGGAGAAACTAATATTCTCTTTTGGCTGTTAGCACAGCAGTGGTAACCTTCAGCATAAATATCCTTCCATGTATTGCAGTGCTACAAATCAAGAATAAAACAAACAGTTCAACTAATGGCTAGAAAAGAACAATTTTTACCTTAAAAAACAACTGCTACCTTATATTTTACACACTAGTGTAAACTGAAATTACATGTTAAGTACAAAGTTCTTTAATTTGAAAACAGGAGTAAATGATCTGCTCACAATGCTATCACACCTAACCAACTGAGAAATTGTTTAGATATGCAAAGCAGGCAATAGGCCTAAATGACTGCTGTTTTGAGACAGTGTGTGCTGATGTTTGGAAAGGAGGTACATGAGAGATCAGACTGTTATTTGGAATGTTTTATTTAAATATTTGAGTATTTTCTGTTTCTCCTGGATACCAGAGTTTGTTGAAGAATTGGGTATTCACTAAGGCTCTTTTAGTGGCATGCTTTAGGTGACAAAACAACTATTAAAGGAAGTCCCACAAAAGAAAGAAAGCTCCTCTCAGGACCACCATTTCCTGCAGGCTTGAGAGTGGCCTGTGGGAATAACTCTGGAACATCTTTACCAACCTGATTCCAGGTTTGGAGCATGCAAAAAAGATAAACCAGCTGTCCAGACCAGGGCATACTGCCACCAAGGCATAGAGATGTCCTATGTTTGCTATCTGCTTCTCAGCCACCTCTGTCACCAAAGAGAAGAAAGCCTACTGATTCCAA